CAACTTGACTGAAGTGCTGAGAGACTTTAAGTAAAAGGCCAACAGCAGCTGTAAGTTGAGAGTTCTTTTCCCAAGCAACAGACTTATTTGATCTGTACTGTTTAGTTTCCCATTTTCAGTCATTCATCTGTGAAAAACCTTGCAAACGTCTCAGTTACTCAATTTGGATGTGTTTGTTTTCTGTTTACTTTCCCAGAGTCTAGCAGAGGTTTTCAGATGCTTTATTTGCATGGAGAAGCTGCGAGATGCTAGACTTTGTCCTCATTGTTCCAAAATGTGCTGTTTCCTATGTATAAGGGTGAGTTATATAGATTTTATGTCATCTATTGCAAGTCAAGATACACAACAGTGTGTAAATTAAAACTAAACATTCAGAGGTGTGTGTAAGACCTTAACCCTTTTGCTCCCAAGATCTTATTAGAAATTCTCTCAGCTGTCTGCTATACAATTCTTGTATGTTCCTACATAGAGTTTGGTAGTGAATCAACTTTAAATCTCTAATTTAAATTTTTGTCCATTTGTATAACATGTCTGCTTGATATTGTATTGAATAAATATTGTAAGGGGAAATTCTGTCTTTGTCACTCAAGAAAGTTAGAGGGTTAAAGAACTGTTTGCTTAAAAAATGTTAAATTTTTAAAATTGTGCCATGTGATGCACTGTAACTTTCAATAAGAAACTTGTAACAATCAACTCTTCTTTTTCCTCTGATGAAGGTTAAGTTAAGAATCTCAGCAAACATCCAGATTTTTATAGCACTTCCAGTGTTCACCCTTATTTAACCATGACAGGTTAAAGACATTTTTAAACCAGAAGAGCAATCCTTTTTCCAATTGAATTTTGAAAAATTCCAAGTTGTTTTAGTAAGATGTACTAGAGACAGTAAATTTAACTGGTTACCATCCTAAAAGGAGAACACTGAACTTTTTGTTTATACACAGCAAACGGCTTCTTGTAAGTCCTGGTTTTATATGACTTTTTCAGGTTTTTCTTTTTTTAATGAAACATATTGGAGCATTTGCCTCGTAAGTAGATGTGCTCATTTAGAGAGTTCCTGCTAAGGGATTTTTGATTGACATAGGGGATTATTTTCTTGAGGGTATGTCTTAGGGAGTTTACATATAAGCAGCATTAACCACAATTGGCAGTAACATTGTAGTTTGATTAGCTTGTTGATAAGAGTACAGATGATGATGCTTGCATCAACTTGTCATGCAACGGTCAGGCACTGAAATAATAGTTTAATTTGAAGTCTTCATTGTGGTCTGTACTCTTTTGCAATGTTCAGGACTGATACAATAGTTTTATTTGATGTCTGTAGCATGGTCTGTACTCTTATCGACAACAATTTTGGTCACCACAGTGGTCATGATTTGTTGTGGACTCATGAGATATACACAAAATTTTTACCACTGTGATGATGAATATTGTTGTTGATAAAAGTACAGACCATGCTTAACCAATGACTATTTGTTAATTTACAATAAACAAACATTTTTTTAACTACCTGCACAGGGGTCTCAATAACATTTTCTATATTAAGAGGTTGCTTATGGCGCAATAGGTTGCCATGTTGTAAGGTAAAATGCAAGCAAAAGAGCTAGCTCCAATGTTGAACAAACCACAGTGAGAGGTCTTACAGGCAGTGGTAGATGCCAGGTGGTTTTTACTGAAACCTTTGTGTTAAGTAGTCATAACTCACCCCTCTCCCATTCCAGGATACCTGAACTACAGGAGAGAAAAGATCTGCAACTATCTTTTACAAGTTATAAGTCCTTTTCATGAGTTTTACAGCATTATGTAAGATCTTGAATAATGGGGGTAGGTTTGTAAAGGAATTGTGGTGCATATGGGAGGGAGGGGGATTTAAAAAATTAATAAAAAGATCCTTTTTAACAGGATTCGTGAATTTTTGTTGAAAATATTAATGATGTTCAACCTACATTCTTTCTATTGATTGTTCAAGGGGCCACTAACTATTTTGCCTTTAATAAAAATGTATTTATTTTTATGTCAAAATTACTTTTAATTGTTAGGTACTTTGTGTATCCTTCTTTTCAAGGTACAATATTTACATTGATAATCTTTGAGTATACAGTTTATTGTAAATCGTCTGGGTTGAATTGATTTAACTTTAAATTTGAGCAAAAGTGAAGCACATATTTACTGTCACATACCTCTTCAACTTTTTGGCAACTTGATAGAATGCTGTATTCATTGGTAACAGATGAGGGAAAAACAATATTTTTGAATGTATTAATTAAAACCACTCTCTCTACAGTGACAAGTTTCTGTCACTTCTCATTTCAAGCTAAGACAAGTTGTTGTATCTGAAACAAATTCTATTCACACAAAGAGAAGGATTTGTAAAACTTTTCTTGGTTTTTGTCACACAGTAGATTTTTCTTGTTAAATTTTATTTTTAATATCGTAGAACAGTCATGTAAGAACACTTCTTGCCTGTAACCATATTTGAAAAAAAAAACCCAAAAGTCTGGGGAACCTGAGGTTGTTTAGCCTAGAACAAGTAAGATCCCTGGTTTTTAAGAAAGTTGGACTATCTTTGATTTTCTACCATGTGCATGTACATGTACTGCATTTTTTGGCCAGCATCCACTGATTTCCATCTGGGGTGCATTGCATTGGCTACCACTCAGAGTTAAAGGGTTAAGTGTTGAATTTTGGGAGTTGAGTACATGCTGTAGCATCACATACTCGTAGCTACAGTTCACCATTTTTAAGCAGATTTCCAAAGGACTTTAGCCAATATTTAACTTAACCCTTCAACAGACCCACAGGTGATTAACTGGAACTACTCCCAGTAATATTCATATATTGTTCAGCAATATGAAAAGTTTGAGAATACTCAAACTAATTGGATTCTAGGTTTTATCTTGATCTAACACCAACCTCTCCTAATTACGCAATTTTTGGCATGTTTCATTCATGTTTTTCAGTTAATGTATACTGGTATGCGAGCGGTACTGTAATTTGCAAAGAGATGTGTATCAGCTAGAGGGGAGAATTAACAATCAGATCTTGGGAGTTTAAGGGTTATCACGGGGTTTCCTTCAATACAGGTTTAGTAAACTTTACTAGTCAGTAACTGTTCTTAATCATTCAATCCCAACTGAGTGAGTGAGTTAATTCAGCAATCTTCTTGAATATAAAGCTGGTAAATAGAGCGAGTGAGTTGGGCCAAGCTTGCTCTTACACAAATACACTAAAAATGCCTCCATCTGCTTCTGTCCTCTATTACAATTAAAGAATTTTACATCTAGAGTTAAAAAATGTAATTATTGTAACCTGAAATTTGTGTGACAAAAGAGCTTAATTTTGGTGTCTGAAGCCAGCTGATGGAGGTGTACCTTGAATAAAAATTTATTTGTACTGGAGATGAATGAGTGAGAATTTGGACCTTTCAAATTTGGGTTCAGCTTGAAACAGGTTTTTACACCATTCTGTGAATCATGAATTTTTATCAAAATCCAGGGAAAATTTAACTTCTTGTGGGTCATCTTTTGTTTGACTGTGTCTTTTTTTGTTTAATTAAGGCCTTAGGAGGAGTGCTTTATATTTTGATTAATGGGTAGAAATTATGCTTTTAAGAGGAAAAAAGGGTTCATCAACTGCATATTATATATTGTATTTATCTGACAGTGGAAGTTTTGTTTTCGATTAAAATGAAAGGTAAAGGAAATTTCAAAAACTGATGCTTATGGCCACCACCAGTACAGTATCTTAATATGTAAATTTTGCTAAATGCATCCTGTTTTTTAAGTAATGCAGGTGTTCTTGGTTATTTTTCTTTTGTTATTTTGAATACATTGTATATCCTTTTTTTATCAGTTATTTGCATGGTGACTTAAAGTGACTTGAAAGTAACCACTGAGTGAGACAAAATAATTCTAAGAGTGCTAAAAATTTACATTTTAAAATCAGTTTTCAGACTGAAATTTTCTGCATCATATTATGAGGGATTTGTCTCTTGAGGAATATTGTTAATTCTGCTCGGTTAGTTTTAGTCTGGTTCTGAGTCTGGTCAAGGATTGAATCCTTTTGTTTGGTGTGAAAAATAATTATGAGAAAATTGTGCAGAATTTGTAGAAGGTGATTCAATCAGAAATTCTAAACACAATTTTTGAAATTTGATTTTGCAAATTGTGTAGATTTGGTTTGAAACACTCACTGTCATTACCTTCACAATTATATGAAACTTTCAGTACTGTAGCTCTACATTATGTGTGGAGAGTCACTGACAATAGTTGCCATTTTAAGAGCCTTTTTTGTGTGGAGATTGGGCCATTTTGAATTTTGAGATTTCTGTGTAGATGTTTTGAGTTAATATGACTTGAGGTCATTTGTGTAAAATTGCACCACCAAGTAATATCTCAGAAGCCTTGCAAAATTTGATGCATTTAAAAGTATTTGGTATAGTATGTGACACACATGGATTTCAGGATGATATTCAAACGGGCAACTGTAAGTAGTTGTTCAAAACCTTGAGTATTTGCAGTGCATTTAAGTGATATTTCCTTGTCAAATCATATACAGTCATGCATTTACTGAAAATATTGCTCAGTTGGCATGCAGTGGCACCCAACTACACTGTAGTATTTGGAGACAAGATTTAAGTGCAGCTAAGGCCTTAATTTGTTTTGCAATGGCTGAACTCCTTAACTCCCAAGATCTCAGCAGTAATTCTCCTTAACTGTCTGCCATGCAGTTCTTGTACATGTAATGTTAGTTTGGAAGATTTGGTATTGGATCAACTTATAATCCTCTAAATGATATTTTTCTTTATTCTCATCAATTATCTGCTTGATATTGTATTGATGTTGTAAGGAGAAATTCTGTCCTGGTCACTCATGGGAGTTAAAGACTAAAATTGCAGCTTATCTATAAAGATCATGGTTTATTTGATTTTCAGTTTGCAGTTTTAATTTTTTTCATAACAAATTAAAAATGTAATTATAATGTGCAAAATGGTATGTCATGTTGACCAAAATTGAAGATCATATTTTTACTGAACAAATGTGGGAAATATTTCTTTGGTTCAAAGGCATTTGAATTAAAATTGAACTCACAAAAAAAGTTAATAATTGTAAAAGATACTGTAAGTGAAATCTTTATTGAGTAGACACTGAAGGGACATTAGGCACAACTTTATTTTACTTAATAATTGTTACATAAAACACTTCCTCTTTCCCCCTTGTCTATGTTGGTAAGGAAATAATTGATCTGCATGCAGAATGCTGAACGTTTTTAAGAGAATGGAGTGTCCAAACAATTTTAGTTTCCAATAAACCCTTTCACTGTCAAGATCTCTTCAATAATTCTCCTTACAGTCTACTATATAATTTTTATGATATTAGTTTGGAGAATTTGGTATTGGACTAACTAATAAATCCCCTTAATGATATTTTTCTTTATTCTCTTCATTTGTCTGATTGATTTTGTTTTGATGTTTGAGAGTTAAGAGAGACAGAGTGTATCTGCTAAATTCAAAGTTAAATTACTAAGTTCATAGTTTATCTTTTTAAATTATTTTTGTGGCTACCTCATCCTATAGGAGGAACAGGGTACTCATAAATATGAAGGATGCAGCAGGTTTTCTATTTTGCATGTGAGACAAATCTCCTGCAACACCATCCTCCAGCATCATTATACAACCTCTAGTTCTTTTCAATGTTATAAAAATTGTGCTTTATTAGTAGCCACATGTAGGCTCAAACTGCCTATTTTTAATAGTTGATTTACATGAACTGTGAACCCTTTAACTCCCAGGCCAAATTTGAAATTCTCCTTACTGTCAATCATACAATTCTTATAATGTTGGTTCAGAGAATTTAGTATTGGATCAACTAATCATCTCCAGATTGATAGTTTTCTTTATTCTCATCACTTATCTGGTCGATATTGTATTGATATTGTCAGGAGAAATTCTGTCTTGGTCACTCATGGGAGTTAAAGGGTTAATTACTAAAAATATTAACTAAAGAATGATAGAAAAGATTATGCATTGCAAGAAATGTGTTACCAGGACATGTACAGTAATAACAAGGATTATATTATTTCATGGTTCCAGTTTTAATAACTGACTAAATATAGGGTAATCTAAATTAAACACAACCATTTATTATGATTGTTTTCTGTTTCATAGCGATGGTTGACTGAACAAAGACCACAGTGTCCACATTGCAGGTAAAATAATTAAAATATGATTCTGGGAACATTATTCATCTTTCTAGCAGTCATAATGCCTACAATTGCTTCTAAAAATCTATTCAGCCTCAAGTGAAAACCTTTTGCTTTTACTTCTTTCCTCTCAATACAGAGCATCCCTTCATCTTCATGAACTTGTCCACTGTCGATGGGTTGAAGAAGTCACTCAGGTTTGAACTATTTTTGTTTTTTTACTGATTTTAGGAGCTACTGTTTGAAACTTCGGCAACATGTTGCCTTGATTGATCTGTTATTTAAACACCTGTGAGAACTGAGTGACACTGTGTCCAAAATAAATTACAGAAATGAACTTTATTGTAATTGTTACCATAATCTGTTATGAACAAAAGAAGCTGATAGTCAGCTGCCTTTTTTTTTAGACAGTCAGTCAAAATACATTGAATGGTAAAAATGGTTTAAAAGAGCAACATCCAATATTTTTAGTGAGAAGACAACTTTGTTAATATGAGTGTACTTCATAAAGTAAATCGAGACTGGCATTGTTAACCAAGCCGTTTTAGATTTTCTTCAGAATAAATAGCAAACAAAAAAATAATATATTTCTCAGACAACATTTTTGTCACTTCTTATCAGTTTCTGCTGACTTCTGAATTTACAGTTTTATGGATTAAATGAAGAGACAAGTTTTAGTTACTTCCATTTGAAACAGTTTATTTCAGCATCTTCATAGAACCAAATTTTTGCTTTTATTCTGTTATTACTTAAATTTATCATGATTACTTTCAGTCTGTTAATTTTTGCTTCAGATCGAAATGCATAAATCTAGTTCTTCAAAATAAATCTTCTAAAGGAGAGTGGAGGAGGATATTAATTTTACTTTGTGGTTATGAAAATATCCACCAGAAAGAAAAAAAAAGTAACAGGATAAATAATTCTTGGTTGAGTTTATGTTCATTTTTTCTGTTGATGGGTTATGGGTCATTTGTTCATTACCTTTAAAAATACTTTATACAAAATATTTGCATATTTCATTATTAAATCATATCTCACTAAAACAACCCTAAATTATTTTGGTAAATAGTCAAGTCATGAGTGATGTCATGTGTAGGAGAAAGATGTCAGATCTTTCAACATAATACTTAGTCAGATGTATTATCTTTATTACATGGGGTGCGGTCATAAAAGATATTAAAGAGAGCTCACAGTGTTATAGGAAATGTGTGGGATTGTTCATGTCAAGCTTAGACAATTACTTAAGTTGCCTGCCGAATAATAAGTTGTCTCTAATTTGCATGCAGTCACTTATTAATAAATGACCCAAATTATTAAGCAAGAAAACTTTACTTTGGATTTAAGATATTAATTCCCGTTTTATCTTTCAGCAATTAGACTCACTTCAGTTAACAGGCCCCCCTAAAGCTAAAGAAGATGCAGATAAAGACAGGTGGGATGAAATCTAATGTTTAGAACCCCTGGTATTTTTCTGTAACTGTCAGCTATTAGAGGATGCAGCAAATTTGCATAAGAGTTGTGAGAGAAATGTGTCTCTCTTTCTTTTTAATTTAAATGATCTTTGTGAGATTGGCAAGTGCTGAGGTGAGCAGGTGTCTTGTTGTAGGCAGAATATTATTGCTTTGTCTAGGGTCAGTTTAGCAACCCACACATTTAAAGCCAGAGTTAAATTGATGACTCTGATCGCATTGATAAAATGTATTTCTTAGATCAAACACAGACAATATGTGCTTAAAAATGATTGTAACACTGGAACATTTTTCTAATGGCTTGGGATTCTTCTGAATGTTAAAACTTGAAAATGATGGTGAAATGTGCAAGTTGTGGAAAATTGCTAAGGGTAAAAGTAAGTGGAAGTATCGAAGCTTCAATACAATTTTCATTTGTTGATTTTTTTCACATCTTGGTTGGATTTTTGAGAAGAATTTTGAGAAATATATTTCACTGAATAGTGGGCTTGATAAAAGAGTCTATGCATATACGTGTTTGGTCATGGAAACTGCGGATGAAGAAGAATGCTGTTGATAGGTATACTTTCTTTTTTATGAATAATGAAAGTACCATCATCATTTTTATTTCAAGTGGTATCTTTATCTGAGAAGTATGTTTTGGTCTCACTGTAAACTGTGATTTGAATTCATATCACAAGCTATTGTCAATAGTAATTTTTGAACAGGATTTCATCCTTAAAGTCTATACATTTATACAACAATGTTATTTAAAATCATAACAGTACTGAGGTTGCCTTCACTTGTTTGTGATTCATTTTTAAACTCAAGTCACTGTAGAAATTTAAAAAAAGATTTTAAAGAGAGAAACCTATTTTTAGGAACAAATACAAAATACTATGTAAACATTTCCACTCTGCTTACATGTAGATTTCTGGAAATATAAGGGAATATGTGCTACAGTGTCTCTGAATATCTTTAAGTAACTTATTTCGGCTGTCTGTGAGCACTGTTTATCTTTGTCATGGTTAAATATATGGAAATATAAGGGAAAATATTTTGAATGTGCTACAGTATCTCTCTATATCTTTAAGTTACTTATATTGGCTGTTTTTAGAACACTGTTTGTCTGACTTTCATGGTCATGGCTGTTCACTGAACTGAGAGTCAGCGCTATTGTCTTATAATTTTGAAATCAATAGACTGTATTATTTTATACTTTAAAATTATTGAAATACAAATGGAGGTTACAGTTTTTCAAATGCCTTTAAATCTCTTTTTGCTCATGGGATTCAATGAAATGATACATAAACAAGAACAGCTCAGCTTAGTTTTTTTTGTAACTTATGTGTGTGTCTGTTATTAACTGCTGATTTGTGTACAGCACCAGACAATCAAAGGGTGGAAATCATATCTTACAAGATCTGTTTTACATGATCATGGTATTTGCAATAGTTTAAAATGAATTTTGGGTGGTAAGAAGGGGTTGGATAAATTTTTTTCATTGAAAAAAATTTTTAAACTAGTATTAAAACCATAAGGAAAGAACACGGAGGATATTTTGATCTAATGGCTACTGTTACACCATTTCATTAGCATGAACAATTGGTTCCATTAGCCGTGCATGTTCCCAAGGACCGCACTTTAGATATATCTCAGGACAATATGATATAGGAGGATATGACCATTTGTTTGAATACTGTCTCCCACCGATGACAATTATTCCTATATATGATATATATTAATTTTAGAACAGCTTGAATATGCATTTAATGAGGAGGTATCCCATTTCGTTCCCAAAATCTTGACAATACTCCTTACCACCTGGCCTGCATTTTTTTTTAATATTATGATCCCTTTTTATTTCTTGTGACAAACAAGAAGACAATACCTAAAAAAATGTGACCAAAAAATTAACAATTTGACTTTCAAACTAGACATCTGGAGAGGACACAAACATGCCCTATTGCTAAAAGCTTCCAATTGGAATTTTTCAAATTGTATACTCTTGATTAATCAGCTCACTGCAGGAAATGTACAAATGACAAACAGCTACATCCTTTAGTGCTCAAAAACTGTGCAGGGCCTTTTCATGAACCTTCAAGGTGAATCTGAACACAGGAGATCTTTAAACTAGGGTTACTGAAGAACACAAGATATATAATTCTATGGGTAGTGTAATCATTATGGTAAATAGTTAATTGTTGATTTTTTTTATTTTCAACTGTGTTTTGTTATGATTTGGCCTTGCTTTAGATGTGACATTCATCATGAAAAACTCAGTGTCTTCTGCAGTACATGTAAGCAGTGCATCTGCCATCAGTGTGCTCTGTGGGGGGGAACGGTGAGTTGATCTTCTTAACAACTTGTTAGTTTAAAAATAATCACCTTTTAAATAGTACTTATTGGTATCACACAGCTATCTGTAGGCACTTGTCAACACAGTACTGAAAAACAACTGTGAGAAATGAAAGCATTCAAATGAAGGAAGAAACATCTTGCAACCTTGGTCTTACTTTCTCCCTCATTTAGCATCATTTCACATGAAATGTTCCTAAGTACTGTGTAACAAAAATAAATTTATTGATTCATGACTTACTTAATAGTTGACTGAAAAGAATTGCCCTTTTTTGTGGGCGTGAGTCATCAATATGGTTTTGCATAACTTTGCTAACACAAATTGCAACTTGGTCTCTCCCTTTTTCCTGCACTTTAACCCTTTAACCTCTAAGATCTAATTAGTAATTCTTCTTACTATCTGCCATACAATTCCTATGATGTTTGCTTGAAGAATTTGGCATTGGATTTAACTAATCCCCTAATTGATATTTTTCTTAATTCTCATCAGTTCTTCGCTTGATATTGTATTGATATTGTGAGGAGAAATTCGGTCTTGGTCGCTCATGGAATTTAAATAGTTACAGTCTGTAACGCTATTGAGTTAATATATTTGATTTGATTTTCAGCACTCCGGCCACACTTTTAAGCCCCTGGATGAGGTATACGACCAGCATGTCTCATCAATCACAGATGAGGTATTGTCAACTTAAATTTTGCATAGAATAACTCAAGCTAGTGATTTATTGGTAAGTGTTTAATTAATATTTTTATTTTTTTAGGTTGCAGCATTAAGGCGCAGACTGATGGAACTGATTAGTCTTGTTCAGGAAGTGGTATGTGGGAAGCTCTTAACTGAGATATGTGACACCAAACCTGAGGATGTGGACCAGAAATGTTAAGCTCTTAACCCTTAAACTCCCAAGATCTGATTGTTAATTCTCCCCTCTAGCTGCTACACACTTCCTTGTAGATTAGTTACAAGAATTTGGTGTTATATCAAGATAAAAACTTCTTCCTTGATAAGTTTGAGTATTCTCATTACCTGTTTGCCAGAAAATGTATGAATATCATAGGGAGAAGTTGTGTGTCAATCACTTCTGAGAGTTACGGGGTTAAGGAAACTGAGTTGGATAATTATGCTTCTGAGATGAAATTGATGTCAACACGCTCTGTGATCTTAAAATAACTTATCAGTTCTGGTGCCCCAAGTACCCAAATTATTTTGTTTTCTTTTTTATGATAACTTTTAATTCTTGACTTGATCTTTCTAAACCATTTTAAATTATTTATAATTTAAGAGAAGATTAAACCAGTGTATGACTGTAATGTGTTTACCCTCCTTAGATAAAGTTACTTCTCACTTACAGTAGTCAATTAATCAAGTCAGTCACTGTATTAATCAAGTTATTTTTTGTCTGCTAATCTGTCTGTACCATAACTTGAAATCTTGTATTCATTTCTTTGTAGGAACGCAATGTGGAAAGTTTGCGTGAAGCTAAAGAAGAAGTATGATTGTTTCTCAGTGTTTAAATTGCAATAATTAACCTTATTACATGTAACTTAGAACTACTAATCCTACATTGTTTTTCCCATTAAAAATTTTTTTTAGCGTGTACGTGAAATTCGCAATGCAGTGGAATTGATGATAGCACGCTTAGACACTCAGCTTAAAAGTAAATTGCTGACACTTATGGGTAAGTTTTGAAATGAAAATATTATGACTCCTTGTTTCACTTGTATAACTAGGGTTTAACTGGTTGTTTGCCCTTTCCTCAATAAGGTAATAAATGGGAATAAATAACTATTAAGATTAACAGTATTTGATATGCTAGCCTATTGATGTACTATTACTGGTAATTTCAAATTAATGCTTTCATGAGGGACCCAGTAACCTAGTGGATTCAAGTCCTGTTGGAGGTGATTGTGTTGTGTCTTTAGGTAATAAAAAACAATTTACCCTCTCAATGTTTCTCTCCACATAGGATAATGAAAAAGATTGATAAAGTAGCAAGGGAAAACTGATTAGTTGCTGAAATGAATGTTGTACTAAACTTGCATCTCATTCAAAGGGGAGTCATGATACTGTGCATGAATAATTTTATTTACTTGTTTTCTTCACTTGTTTATTTTAAACAGGTCAAAAGAACTCTCTGACTCAGGAGACAGAACTGTTAGAATCCTTGTTACAGGAAGTTGAACATCAGGTTTGTTTAAAAATTGTTTAATAATTGTAGGTGTAGCACAATTGTGAGGATTCTTTGTTTACTTGAAATCATTGGCAGGTCAAAATACTTCTTTTTCATTTGATTAGGTTCCTTTATGGGAATAAAGAGCTTACTGCAATTTTCTTAGCTTCCAACAGGTGGCTTTGTTACTCAGTTGGTAGTGCTGAGTAGGGCTCAACTAATTTTCAAGGCCTGAACTTTTTCAGGCTTATTTTTTCCTAAGATTTCTTTTATTGCAACTCATGTGTGAGTAATCTTTCTTTACTTGCACTTCATGTGCATGTCAAAATGTTACTTATTTCATTCAAAATCCATTATTGGAAGTATGTTATCAACATTAAGGGGGAATGCATCATCTCTCTAGACTCTTGTAACCCTGATCATTTGATTGGGTCATTTCAATGCCAAACATTTCAAAATGATTGAAGAAATTTTAATGTTTGTTGTTATTTTTTTTTTATTGCCTTTTAGTTGCACTCTTGCTCCAGAAGTGAACTTATTGCTAAAAGTGGTGAACTTTTACAGATGTTTAATCAGGTGTGGTAAAATAACAATTAGACCTGAATTTCTGTGTGGAATAATTTCTAAAACCCATTTAGTGGTTTTGCTGTGATTGATTCAATTCATTTAATCATTATACAACATTTTTATACACTGTATTAAGTAATACTGGTATTTTGCAGCAATTAACTGAAAAATACAAATTAAATTCATTGTAGGTTCATCGTAAACCAATGGCTTCATTTGTGAGTCCTCCAATACCAGCTGATTTTTCAAGGTAATTAGCTTAATTCTTACATATTAAGACATTAAAAAACAGTTATTTAAGACTTAATGTAATTTGTAGGTAGGAAAATGCACTGCTTTCCTACAATGGCCAATATTTTTTGTAAACTTGAAATCCAACTGAGAAAAGAAAAATTTATCTCATGCAAAATGCTTTTTTCTCTTCATTTTCAGTGAAATTGTACCTGGCTATGACACAAGTACATTCTGTATCACCAATTTCAGGTAATTCATCTTTTCTTGAAAATAAAGATACTGGTATGTTGAAACTGTCTAAATTCTACAGATAATAATAAAAAATAATTATTTTCTTATTATTAATTTAGTCATAGTCCTTTCCGTTGTTTCCTTCATCGAAACAAATATTTTTCTCCACGGATGCGACATATGATTCCCTAAGATGTCAGGCTATGATACTCAAAGCGTAATTTTCACATAAACACATTTCATATTTTCAGAAAATATGCAAGTTTTTTAAAGATTTATTTTAAGCAATTTTTCAAAACCATCATATAACTATAAAAAAATAACAAGTATACACTGACACACACTTCACAATAAACTTTACTTATGACCAATTACAAAAAATCAATTTCACTAGTAATATCACAGGCTTTTGAAAGTACAAAAGTATATAGACTGTACATCTCTGTCAGAGAAAATGGTGGGCTAACCCTTGGAAGGTCAACTGTAGAAACTCTTTACTATGGCCATGTAATACTATGACTGAATTGATGAAACCAAAGTAACTTGTAATACCCCCCACTGATGCAGCACTACAGTTTCTTTATAAACTTTCCCCAGTTTATTTATGTATCATTGACACTTGACTTGGTTTTCTGTACACAGTTTATTACGAAGAAAGGCAGATCCTGTTTATAGTGAACCCTTAAATATCAGTGGACTTAGTTGGAGACTTAAGGTTTATCCTGTGAGTATGGAAAAAAAACTACATTCAACAGTTCAGAATTTGAAGTTTTACTATTCAATAGTTTGTTTTGATCATGGATCTGCCTCAGCAGTCCTCTCCTGGATGTGCAATGGCCACTTTTCCTTTCTCAAAGGTTCCTCATTGGAGGGCAACCTGAGAAATTTGAAGTGTCTCAAGGTGGCGTGTAAAATATTTAAAACAACAAAAGTTTTGATGCTCTTTTTAGGATGGTAATGGTGTGGTGAGAGGAAATTACCTGTCTGTATTTCTGGAGCTCTCTGCTGGACTGCCAGAAACATCCAAGTAATTATTTACAATACTGTTATGATTGTTTTTAATTCTTTTACTTTCTATTTTAAAATTTTCATTATTGTTTCATTTGGTGTTTAAATTCATGATAATTATATTTTAATTGATTTCTTTAGGTACGAATACAGAGTTGAAATGATTCACCATGCATCTCCTGATTCAAGCAAGAACATTGTGAGGGAGTTTGGTGAGTTGTATTGAAACACAGGCTAGTACTTCTACAATGAACCTTTTAACCCCTTACAGTGACTAGCATGCATGCATCTCATTTCTCCTTACAGTATCACCCCTGCATCAAACATTCAGGTCATGAGAAAAAAGGAAATGATCACTAATTCAACTAGAGAAGTTCTTGATTGATAAACAAATTCTCCTTGTCAGCACCCTTGGAAATGTATTAAGAACAGTATGGAGAATATGTATACTGATGTTAGGGTGTAAAGGGTTCACATTAACCTGTGAACTTCAGTTTATTTGTACAATGTATTTCTTTTACAGCGTCTGACTTTGAAGTTGGTGAATGTTGGGGTTACAACAGATTTTTTCGCTTGGATCTTTTGGTAAGTGAATGTCATTCTTGTTATTGTGAGACGTAAAGGCGAAGTACATATGCTCCAATAACTAAAACTTGCATATGTGCTTGTTGTAGGGAAATGAAGGATACCTGAACACAGCAAATGACACTTTGATTCTAAGGTTTCAAGTCAGACCTCCAACATTCTACCAAAAGTGTAGAGATCAACAGTGGTAAGGCGTCACTTGATGCAAGTGTTCAAACGTAGCCAGGGCAAATATTAAACTTTCACCCGAGATCTGATTGTGAATTCTCCTCTCTGGATGCCACACATTTCCTCTCAAACTAGTTACGAGAGTTTGGTGTTAGATCAAGACAACCTCTTCTACCTGATACGTTTTAGTATTCTCATTACGTGCTTGCTGGATAATGTTTGAATGTTATAAGGAGAAGTAACATGTTAATCACTTCTGAGAGTGACAGAGTTCAGCTTAAATTATGGGCCGAGTTATGGTAACATGGCAGCTCGTATCTGCAGTCTTGCTGAGTAACAGGTAATTTGGTGTTAACAACTGAGTTGAAAACGTAAATTAGCCACCGTAAAGGGTAAAAGAAACTGACGTTTCGAGCGTTAGCTTGTTAGCCCTATCGCTCTGACGAAGGGCTAACGCTCGAAACGTCAGCCTTTTTTACCCTTTACGGTGGCTAATTTACGTTTTCAACTCAGTTGTTAATACTAAATAACCTGCTATACTCTCCCACCGACGCAGCACCACAGTTTCTTTAGAAACTTATCCCTATGTTGCTGAGTAACAGTTCACGTTTGTGGTTTCGTTCTTGTTTTTCCAGGTATATTAATCAACTTGAAACTGGTCAGACGCAGTACATTCAGCAGATTAACGATTTAAAAGAGGTACACGATATATAAGTAAGAATAAGATCAGTGGACTTAAAACTGACGTTGTAAGTACGACCCAAAATGACTCTTCTTTTCGAGAACCCACCACGTGACCTGTAATTAAGTATCCACCACTAATGCACTACCCATGCGCAATACTGTTTAGCTCCGCCCTTACAAAAATTTACCGGTATCTTCCAAATTGGCTCTGAAGAAGGGCTAACGCTCGAAACGTCAGCCTTTATTAAAATTCTTTACGGTGGCTAATTTACGTTTTCAACTCAGATGTTAACAACAAATTACCTGTGAGACTCTCCCACCAACGCAACACCACAGTTTCTATTAGAAAAAAGACATTCTTGTCATGCGTAGTTGTGTCTATGCTGGTCTGGAAAATGGCAGATCGCCTCCCTAGGGAGTCAAAGAACTTTTTTAGGTCTCATTTCAACTACTAGTTCGGTAGTGTTCATAGCTACGAGGATCGCTTATATCTCATTTCTTCACCGCAGTGCACATATATGATTTTCAAAGATTTCCAGTCATTATTCATCGTTCAATAATTGTTTATTATATTTTTATATCTAAGTAAGAATTTTTTTTTCAAAACGCAGCGACTTGCCATTGAACTGTCCAGAAACCATGCACCGACTTCCTCAGCACCGGGCAGCGTGTCAGACATGGGTCACGTGTCTTTACTTGAACAATCATTGGACAACATCGAGGATGATAATGATCATTTGGTCACCAAGCAACAAAATGATGCCCAGTTGGTAGTGCGACGGGCCCAAGTTTCCAGGCCACGTGCCACAGCACACACTGCATTAGATGTGGAAACTGCCTCTGGTATGTGTTGTGTTCTGCTGGTGTTAAGCCACATTTTCACGATCGGGTTTTTCGCTAAAAAATTTTCCTTGGCAGCGCAGATAGAAAAGGAGGCAGAGTCTTGTCTCCTCAAGTCCCTTTGTCCTAAAACCAAGTTTTAAACAGGTAGCCGGTCGTTTCCGCCAGTTTCTTACGGTTGTTTCGCCCGAATTGAAAGTCGATTCAGTAGAGATGATTGTGGCCGCTTTTCGAGATAGGGCTCTTTTCGATTGACTGACGTAAAGATGAAATCAACGTAATCTCAACGGCCATTCAGAAAAAAGAACATTACCTTAAATTTGCAAACCGCCCAAAGCGCTGGAAAAAACACGGGCGACTAAGTCGTGATTGGTTTTAGTTTTGCATTTGATAGGCAAAAACCAATGCAATCTCGGATTACTCTCGACACTCAATTGAAAATTACTCTAATTTTCTCTTGTGTGGTTGGTTGGTTATGATTACTTCGCTTATGGTTTTACTTTATTTTTTCGAAAAGCGCTCTGTTGCGAAAAATTTACTCGGACAATTTGCTGGTGTAAACTGGACATGGAAGGAGTAAGTTAGGTTTTTTTTGTGCCTCATGTGTAGTCGCGCATAGTAATGACGAAGTTTTTTTCCTTTAGGGCCAGTACTTCCAGCATCAGAGGAAGGAGAAGAAGTGGTGGATGAGTACACAAATGAAGATGATAATGGAGAGGAAGACGAAGACGAGAGTGGTGCTGATACTGGTGATGACGAGAATGAAGTGGATGGAAGACCGGAAGCTGAGGAGGAGACATCTGAGCCGGAAGGAAATGAAGAGGAGTCATTAAGAGGTAAACACTGCGTAATAGAATGGGAGAAGAGGTGGCTCAACGGTTAGCGCGCGAGGTCTGGGTACGAGACCTGGCTGGCTCATTGGGTTGTGTTATCGAATCAGACGCTTTACTCACTGTGTCTCTCTCCGAAGAAATGCTGCAAAAGGGGAGGGTGATGCGATGGACTTGTATCCCCCGTTAGGGTGGTCGCAATACCTTAAGCTGCTTTTTGCTACACAGACCGGGATAAGCACTGGCCAAATGAGTCACTTGACTTAATGACTTAGTTTTACCTGACACATGACAACGCTTTCGACATTGCTGATCCGCGCAGTAAGCGACACGTTTGTCACACTTGAACCTAGTAAGGACCTAGCCCATCATAGAGTTTCCTGCGTCCAAGTGGTAGAGCAGTGGGGTTGAATGTCTATGGGTCGAGTCCTTAAAGGGGACTCAGTAAAACTTTTGTATTTGTTCCCGGCTTAAGCTAGCAAAGATAACTCAGTTCGTTGTTCAGACCTTCTTTTACTTGAATTGCACGACGCATCAAAATGAATTCTTTATTGGTCCTTTTTTTCAGACGAGACTTTAGAAGAGGAAGCACTTCAGGATCTCGTCCCATGCTCAGAAAGTTCCCCGGAAGAACAGGCTGCGCAACAGAAGGAACAAGAGGCCTGGGACGTAGAAGATGTTGAACTCGAATTCTTTGATATTAACAGTGTAACGGAACAGCGAGAAGAGGCAGAACCAAAACCCGAGCCATTGTCAACTCAAACCAGCTGCTCTAATTGCCTTCCAAACAATCAAGGTCCTCTTATCGATGCAGAGGAAAGAGCGCTTCTTAATTTGCTTAAGTTTGATAATCGAGGCCCCAGAGGGTCGCGTTGGAATGCGCCGGCTGTGTCACGGAGGTATGTGTCAGTAGTGGAGTGGCCCAGGAGGGGAGATGACGATAAAGACAAGCATAAGGAAAGGACCAAGAAGAGAACGCGCTTGGAGAAGACCAGCAGCATGCTGGAGAGACTGCAGAGTTGTTTAACCCGCGCAGAAGCTCACAAGGCAGCGGCTGCCTCTCTTGACAGTGCGAAAGCCCTAGAGGGTGATTGTTTCTTAAAGTCTTACCTGATACTTAAATCATTGTACGCTGTGCCATGTTTTAGAATCTCATATCAAATGCGAGATTGTCCCCCACCCTCACCCTTGAATCCTTGATCTTTTGTGGCTTTCGTAAAGCAGAGCACCCGTCTTCAATTATAAGGGAGACAGATGTTTCTTGATCATGACTTAGTGTGAATTGACAATTCCTTTACGGCGATTTCAAAGTTGAATTCCTTTTTCACTGTACAGCGTACAAGTGCGTTTACTTCACTTTAAATCACTCACAGAGCAATTTTCAATAGCGTGTCGAAAGTAATCCGAGGTTGCTTTGCCTTTACCTTACCTAGCTTTGTGATTGAAAAGAAAACTCGCGCTACTTTTTCGACCAATCGGATGCAAAACTAAAAACACATACTTGGTTACCCGCGTTTTCCCGCGCTTTAGGCAGTTTTCTTGTTTCGCTTTGATTCCTCATTAGCTATTTATGATTTTGACCTTTGTTTTGATTGGTCCCTGGGATAAATGTGGTTTTGGTTTTTCGACACTCGGTGAAAACTGCTCTATCGGGGTCGAACCCTTATCTTAAGATCTGTTTGGACGGATACTCTCATTTGCAAATGTTCATCTTTCCGTTGGCGTTTTCGCTCATGCGGTACTTGTTCAAGACAGCGAGTGAGGTTGAACGGTACTGTGCACGTATAAAAGGGGGTAAGTTTATAAAGAAACAACGGTACTGCGTCGGTTGGGAGTCTTACTAGAGAATTTGGTGTCATCAACTGGGTTGATTATGTAAATTGGCCACCGTAGAGTTTCGAAAGCTGCGTTTCGAACGTTGGCCCTACGACATACAGTGCACATAAGACTGATGTGTATGGTTTTTTTTCCTGTTTGTTTGTAGAATCTCTGACCAGTGGAAGCCATCCCATAGGGATGAGATCGGGTACAGGAAATGTCAGACCTCACAGGAGGGGTGCTTCATTACCCAGCTTGGATGGTGCTGACAGTAAAAACCGAACTTCTCCGAAGAAACCCACAGGTATTGATTTTGAAGGTTAAGTTGTTCTGTTCATACAGTATAAATCAGTTTTCTTCCTGTTATTAAAGACAGATCACTTAGTGGTAACGGAAAGAAACGTGACTATCAGTTGTTTCATCTTCAGAAAAGGACAACTCGGTCAAACGTGAATTATCGATATATTAATTGTGTTGTCTTCTTGGGCAAGACAATTGACTCTCACTTAATTTTCTCCCCGAGGGAGTATAAGTGGTTATCAGTAAACTGTTAGAAAAGCCTGCTGAAATCAGGCAGGGGGGCTGGTAACCTGTGATTGGCTAATATTAGTAAAGGAGGAGAGGCAATACTTCTGCTCGTTTCGTACCACAGACACTAGGATAAACTCGGCTTGAAATGAGCCACTAACATGGAATAACTTATCTTTCACAATTTTTTTAACTTGAAATAGACCAAAGTTTTTATATTAACAATAGAACAGATATGTTTAGTGTTGTACTAAGAAGCGGAGACACGGCGTAAAGTAGGGTATGGCCTCTTTATGTTGTCCATTAATATTTCTCCTATTGTTTCTTCAGTCTCATCAGGGACTGTAGCTAGCATATGTGTCAGCTCCGGAGTTCCAATTTCAGCAGTAGCATGTACCATTCCCCATCCCCCTGACCATGATGACGGGTGTGGCAACCCTGAACCTGACCTGTCAGTACCTCATCACTTGCCGGAAATGGACACAGACAGTCCACGGTAAACAAACTACCATTGTTATCTCGTATTTTTATCTCGCTACCTTTACCCTGTCAGGCTTTCCTCGACAGGTCTTTTTCTGAGTTCCTTTATTTCCCTGTGACACTTTGTCCAAAAACTGACACGCCTGTCATGAAACAGGAGACTTGTTCCACAATGTTTCCTTGAAAAATGTCCTTGACGATTTTTTAAGTTTTGCATACAAGTAAAATAAACTATTTACGTCGACAATTGCATTGTCGAGAAAAGAAAAATTCATTGTCAAGCTTTACTCGTAGACTTACAAATTATTACAGGTTTTCAATAAACGTTCATGTAACTCGGTGTCAAACCACTTTCAGTTCTCGACCCAAAGATACGAAGCGGAAAGTACACAGAGCAAATACTGCTCACTCTACTGTTGGAACTGAAGGTACTCCTGTCTTTTGAATTTATTGATTTATTTGCGATATTTAAACAGGCTGACTAAGCTTTAAAGCTGGTGTAAATGGGGGCCTATACACCAAGCTCTTTGCGAGAAGTAGGTGGACTCTTTAACGTCTCTTGCTAACCAGTAAAGAGAAGATGCAGGAGACAAGGCTAACAGTTTATCGTTCTAAGAGCCTTAGTGTTGGTCCGGTCTGGGATTCAAACCCTCGACCTCCCGCCTAACCGTGAACTGAAATTCTTTCTCCTGACTGCTTTACAACCTCTTATCTTGTTGATTTAAGTTATTTCTAATATCTTATATTCTTCAGGTCTCCAACTTAGTTCTCAGTTACTGTCCGACCTTAAAAGGGCTTCGACTATAAACAAAACCTACAGGATGAGGTACTCTGCTACCGAGGAAGAACTACTACAGAGTCGAGCCAGTTCTCACAATAGTCCCACACAAGGTAAGTTAGAGGCACACATAGTCTTGGTAGAAAACAGCTTAAGGCAATTCCGTAGTATCACATCGCGAATTCTTACTGCGCATAATTTAACACGTGACTATCGCGCCCACATTAAAAAATGGGATTTATTGTCGGAGCTCACCAGTGAGGTAAATCGTCATTTTCCTGCAAACGAGCATGGTGACCAAACATTTTTTTTTCATTTTTGGAAATGAGCGATGACTTTCATTTCGTAAAATGGATATAAACCAATTCTCAGTGTAGTTATTACGATACTTAGACAGGCTTGCGCAGTTCAGCTAAAAGCTGGTTTAAATGGGGGCATGTATACACATTAACAAATCCAGACCACAAGCGGTCTTAAGCGTCTTAAAGTGAATTCCAAGAGAAACTGTATCAATAACTGAGGCTTCGATATGTAAACGCTTCAGTGTGGACAGGACTCTGACTTTACTTTTTTTATCTGTTAGCTGATAGCAGTGTGGATCCTTCACCATGTGGTAGCGCAGATGAATCTTTCATTACGTCACTGAGTTCATTACCAACATGTCAGCAGTATCACTTGGTACACATTAGCACTGAGGACCTGACTGACATACACAGCGGTGATTCACCCACTAACCCTCCCCCCATAGTAATCAATAGAAAGAGGAGCTCACCAACCGGAAGCGCCTGTAGCAACACCAGTCGGGAGGGTGACAACAGCCCCACAGGAAGTGCAGGTAAATGTTACATTACACTGGCGGCTGTAGGTCTTGATTACAAACTGTCTCTGAATAAAGTTATGAATAAAGTTATGGCGGGGGGGGGGGGGGGGAGGAAGGAGGGGGGTGTTTGGGTAACCATCCCATCCCATTAAAGAGGAGTTGCAATATTTCGGCTCACTTCACGCGCTGCAATGCGAGGTAGGCTTATATTTTTGGAGTGTTATGACCCAAACTCAGAGACATTCCTTAGACAAGTCTTTCCCAGAGTCTAGTACTTATGCCATTCGAAGACACAAAAATACTTGGATTGATTGTAGAGTTCTTGCGAGGATGATGTGTGAGTCACTATCTTCCGAAAGCAAATGACGTCAGGGAGTATTTTCTTGTAGTCTTTGTATATGTATGTGCCATACCCGTTGGGCGTGTATAAACAGGCAGCAACAAACTTAAATACATATACCTTGATCAGTCTTTCCTTTCCACACAGGTTGCTCAAGTCCTCAAATTAATGACAGCAGTGCGGAAGAAGACAGGGGAAGTTGTGATAAATAATATTGCCGTGTCAAAAGTGTCTCTTAAACGTCATACCTAAGATACATTATACGTAGAGTAGATTTATTATTGTACAGAATGGCCAGGGGGTCTGGGTTCTAGCCTTGAATGGTACCTTTAAGTTCCTTATTCTCCACTGACCTTAAAATTTTTGGGCGTGTACGACTATGAGTTCGAGATCTTCCAATAGGGAGACAAAGGGCGCTCGAGAATCTCCGTAATTTGGTGCCTTAAAAAAAAAGCGGTCGACATTATTTTTCAAGTTTTTGCAAAAAATGGAGTAACCATTTTGTAACCAGTTCTGTGGTTTGACTTTTTTAATTGAGCCCTTCGATTACGTCCGATCATAAGAATTAGCTTTGTTGCTCAGAGAAGCACAGTTAAGTTTCACGACGAAAATTTCGCTGAAAAACTGAATGTAACTCTCCTACCTGTTATCGAGCGAGCTCGGCTTAAAATCTTAAGGTCTTCATTAGCGTGATCTAAAATTATTGAATGAGTTTAATTTATTGATGAGTAAATGAGATATGTTGTAGTGGGATGAATGTGATGTAGTTAATACTGGCCTTTTCCATATTTTTTCTTCCTTCGCTGTTTACTTTCCTAGCCTGCGGGACGGGCGTCATTTCTTTGACGTTTTTCGGGCAAGCGGAGGAAAGTGTAAAGCGTGCGGGATAACAGCACGAGGGGCGAGTCGCGTGCCAGAGGAGGAGCTTGTGCAATAGTGCTTGTCACGCCCGTCATGCTGACCTCGCGCTGGCCTCCGCTCGCCTAACCTGGCGAAAAAATGACGCCCTATCTCTAAGGGACCCTAACGAGTTTTTTTTTAGTATCGAGTAGTCTCCTTCGCAGCCGTTTTTTTTCCTTCGCAGCCGTTTTTTTTCCTTCGCAACGCTTTTCGCCCTTATCGCGAGAAAGAGCGTGTTGCGTGAGAGACCAAATAAAGGCTGAGAAGGAGAGCAGGCATCAAATCTTCCTGGATTTGTTGAAAAATAATTAGACAGGGTTTCATTGAAAGTGTAAGGTATCTAGGGGCGATTCCTCTCTTGGTGTTCTCTGGCTTGTACCTATCTCAACTTTTTCTTTGTGACGTTGATTCGCCACATTAATCAATGAATAGAATCTTCACTAAATGTACATAGCTGTGAATATGGTTCAATTTCAAGACGGAGTATGTTGAGAATATATTTTGAGAGTTGATATCGATTCTCCGGAAGATTAATAAATTATTGTATTTGATTCATGCTATTTAACTGCGTTCTATTACGTGGATATTGTATAGGATTGGGACGTCTTGCGAACCCAGTTTGAGAGTGCACGACATGGTCTCCTTATCGGTTATCATTCATGAGTTTCAACTTCTCCGAACACCAGTTTTATTGCTACATCATCAACATTTTTCCTGCTTTCATTCAAAAGCGTCAAATAAAATTTCAATTGCAATACATGCGAGCTTCAATCCTTTTAACCACAATAACCCTTGCGCCTCTCCATTTAGCGGTATTTCCGACATTTCGTCACAACGTGGTCTATTACGTGACCCTTGCGGTCCTGCGCGAGCTTTTATTGAAAACATTAGACGACTATCCTTACACGTTATTTCATGAAGGATAATACTCGGATATGGATGTTTCTTTTTTCAACAGCTGACTGGTGCATTTTGATACTCGTTCTCGAAACCAACCATAGGGCGAGGCTTAATGGTTTATGTGACATCTCATCACCTTAAAACTGAGTTGTCTAATAAAATTCCAGCTGGTGATTTCTCCACTCGCAGCTTGGCTGCGGAGGACCACCAATTGAACGGTAAAGAACGCGTTCCTTAGAGTGTTTAGCCGATTGTAGAATGGAAGGAAGTGGGATGGAAAGAAAAAGAATAACTTGAAGTTTTTTCACAAATCATCGGCTTACAGCCAGTAGGTGGGTGTAGCAAACTGCAAACGTAACTGCAGATTCTAGTTTCGGTGCTGACAACAGAGAAGCTTGTTATGGCAAATGGAAGGGTACGGGTCATAACAATACCGATAAATTTCAGTCCTAAATAAGTACCATGATCCAGCTCCCGAAAACCCGGAAAATTCTCTACTGCAAAGAGAGAAAAAGATTCATTTAAATCTGAAAGAGAAGACTTTAATTTGTTTACTCTGCCGGCTTCATTCCTCTTTTTGTGCTGGAAGATCGAGCCGCCCATTAGAGCCATTTAAGAGGGCACAGAGGACGAAAACTGAAGCGCCAAATGTAACTGAAAAATAACATTTGGAACATCTTCATCATCAGAAAAACTTGACCTTTCAGCCAAAAGAATCGACAGCAAAAATCGTACCTCCTCTCCCCGCCTCCTGACAGTGACATTTTGAATACTGATTTTGAGGCCCGCGGAATATTAGATTTGCATTGTAAATACTGAGTGGTATAAAATATCGGGTTTTTGATGTCTTTTGGTCTTCGCACGTGGGTCACAACCAGCAACGGAAAATTGGCCGAACTGAGTCAAGCCGTGAAGTGACCGAGGTCTGATCTTTTTTGAACTCGTGTAAGTCATCCAGTTTCTTTGTTCTGCGCTTTGATATGAGGTAAAA